AGAACAAAATTATACGCATTTAAGGTCAAACTGGCAAGGAATATATTTGGACCATAGAGGGGGGAAGACAGATATGATATTTTTGTGTGAAATACAGTGCGTTCACTGATAAAGTTAAACGCAGATGTCACTTCTCGGCTCCCGGCAGGAACTGCTACAATACCGGTAAGTTGATTTTGTTATTTTATACGTGGTTTATATCGGGGACACCCTGTAGCACTTGGCTGTGAGTCATGCAGTTTTATCCGGGGGCCGGGATCTGATAGTTGCCTCGAAATTTATCCCAAAAAAAAACTGTACGTGTCATTATGGCTGTAGTTTACATGTAAGGAATATTTATGTCTACATGAAGTTTAATTTGAATGCTTTGATTAATGTCGAGCTGTTGACTATGTCACGTGAAACAAGTTAATGTCTAGACATATAGGAGATAGAAATTTCACACATCAAACTTTAAAATAAAGGCTATTACATTTTTATTTAGATGTCTTTGGAACAATAAAGTTATTATTTACGCAGTTCAGGATCGCACTGAAGCTTGTATGAAAATCGTTGTCTTTTAGGTTGTTCCACCGTGTGGCCTGGTAGATATATACCGACGTTTCAGAGGTGCTTTGTGTCTCTAATATCATTACCGTGATAATTTGGGTAAACATATCAGACTTATTGGCGTAACAACCTAGAAGACAGATATCGTCTTGATGTTTATTACGTAACTTAAACTTACAGATATTTCATAATTTTCTTCCAAATCTACAGATTTAAGAGTTCATGAAATAGTACAGTACTCATAACTTCACAGTGAACTGATGTTAGTTGATGGCAGATGTAAGTTATGAATGTTTTCATAAAGATCCACTAATATTTACATACGACTTCTCATTGCTAAGTTATGTATATTGTAGAAATTGTTTATAAAGTCGATAGAAAAATGTCATTTCTAGGGAAAATGCCCCTCGCATTTTAGACACAGTTTGTGACCCATTTAGATAGTTTACATGAAGGCGGGTTTCATCATTATTTGCTAGAATATCACTGTTTCTATCAGACACATTGCAATGAGCTTATCCGAAGTTGTCCAGTTACATACATCGACGAAATATCATCAAAATGAACGAATTATAAAACTTGACGAGACGTGTAAATTATAAATAGAATGAAAATATTTTACCCGTTGCAGAACATTTATTTCCCAAATGTGTTACTCGTTGTTTTACATACATCATTGCATTGGTATTGACGTAGATTTATACAAGATTATACTCGTAATAAATTTATGTATGGCAGATCGAACTGCAAATGGCGCGCAGCGCGGAGACAAATAATTTATATTTATGTACCCGTTTAAAAGCATAAAGATTAAAATAAATAAAAAATTCTGACCGTTGTGTTTTTGATGTAAAAGCCAGTGTCTCACATTAAGGGATTTATATAGATTGAGGTTGAACTGGTAGTTTTATGTCGTAAAATTTAATTTAAAAAAAAATATAACAAAATATATAGATAGTTTTAAATGTTACGTAATATATTAACAATTATAAGTTAAGCCGCTCTTATAACGTTACCCTTTTAACCTATACGAAGATCAGGTTATATTTAACAGCAAGATGATCTAGATAGGTTATTTGTTTTTAGTTTAAATTTTGCTTTTATTTTGTTTCTTATGTTTTATTAACGTTTTATATCAGTATTAGCATAAAATAGTGTAGTTGCGTCATATTGTGATTTATTAAATTAAAATTAAATTATTTGATTATTCCGTCAAATCACAATATATTTAAAATAAGATAATTAAAATAATTAAATTATTACTTCTGAATCACCTCCAGACACAACTGTGTTGTCTACTATTTCATCTCTGGTATGTAAAAATTGTAAAAAAAATTGTAATTGAGTTTTAAATTTAATATAATTTTACACCTGATGATGGTTTAATAAAACCGAAACATGTTGTAACTGTTCCAATTGTAAATCGATTATTCGATATGGAACAAAGAATAATATTTTAATTATTTTAATTATTCTTATTTTAAATACACTGTGATTTGACGGAATAACCAAATAATTTAATTTTAATCAGTATTAGCTCTTGCTGATGGCAAAGACTCTAATAAAAGAATTGAATTATTATTACGATAGTTTATTGTTTTTTAATCTGTGCTACCATGGATTTTTTTTTAACTTTTTCGAAGCCTGCATGTTTGCCTTTCGTTATGTATCTGAATTTATTTGCTAACTTGAATATAAAACCTCACGTGAGAACTTGCCTCTTATCTTAGGTTTTTAGAACATGTGTCTCACTGCCATATCGCTATTATAAATGAGCATTGTGTGGTCTCGGCTTTACCTATTACTTCGTGACACTTATTAGAGTATCTACTTTCAACCTTTTTTTATATCCAGAGAATATGAGCAGCCTATTATTATATTACGGGGTTTTTTGGTGTAAACGCAGAAGCTACATGACATTTAAATAAAACGTTCTTGGAATTGTGTGAACAGCTGCTAGAGAATGTACTCGCAGAATTGGAGTAGGTGACGTATAAAAGCCCTCTTACTAATGTAGGTTACACCTTACGTTATTTTCATTCCCTTCCGACAGAGGCGCTGATAGTGCTGCTATGTTTATACACTAGTTTACTTCGTAATTTACTCGAACTAGGTTATGTTTGAAAATTATCTTCGTCTTTGTCTTGATGTTAACCGTCTGCAAATAGTATTATGTTGAAATATATCACTCTTGTTATTATTAACTCCTCTGGTACACTTTTTTGGATGTGGCAGGTAGAAAAAAATGTTGTAAAATTCTGAACGATGCTTTTCATAATTATGCAATAATTTATGTTCTTCTGGCTTTAAAACATGTTTGCTCTAACTGTACGCGTATAGGTGAAAGATAATTATTTGAATAAATTGAATAAAAATTTACTTGGATATTATCCATCGTCTAGTAAATATAAAACGTAAAACGACGTTTCGGAGATGGGACTCTATCTCCGTCTTCAGGTTCCTACACAGTTGTGTTTTATATTTACTAGACGATGGATAATATCCAAGTAAATTTTTATTCAATTTATTCAAATAATTATCTTTCACCTATACGCGTACAGTTAGAGCAAACATGTTTTAAAGCCAGAAGAACATAAATTATTGCATAATTATGAAAAGCATCGTTCAGAATTTTACAACATTTTTTTCTACCTGCCACATCCAAAAAAGTGTACCAGAGGAGTTAATAATAACAAGAGTGATATATTTCAACATAATACTATTTGCAGACGGTTAACATCAAGACAAAGACGAAGATAATTTTCAAACATAACCTAGTTCGAGTAAATTACGAAGTAAACTAGTGTATAAACATAGCAGCACTATCAGCGCCTCTGTCGGAAGGGAATGAAAATAACGTAAGGTGTAACCTACATTAGTAAGAGGGCTTTTATACGTCACCTACTCCAATTCTGCGAGTACATTCTCTAGCAGCTGTTCACACAATTCCAAGAACGTTTTATTTAAATGTCATGTAGCTTCTGCGTTTACACCAAAAAACCCCGTAATATAATAATAGGCTGCTCATATTCTCTGGATATAAAAAAAGGTTGAAAGTAGATACTCTAATAAGTGTCACGAAGTAATAGGTAAAGCCGAGACCACACAATGCTCATTTATAATAGCGATATGGCAGTGAGACACATGTTCTAAAAACCTAAGATAAGAGGCAAGTTCTCACGTGAGGTTTTATATTCAAGTTAGCAAATAAATTCAGATACATAACGAAAGGCAAACATGCAGGCTTCGAAAAAGTTAAAAAAAAATCCATGGTAGCACAGATTAAAAAACAATAAACTATCGTAATAATAATTCAATTCTTTTATTAGAGTCTTTGCCATCAGCAAGAGCTAATACTGATTAAAATTAAATTATTTGGTTATTCCGTCAAATCACAGTGTATTTAAAATAAGAATAATTAAAATAATTAAAATATTATTCTTTGTTCCATATCGAATAATCGATTTACAATTGGAACAGTTACAACATGTTTCGGTTTTATTAAACCATCATCAGGTGTAAAATTATATTAAATTTAAAACTCAATTACAATTTTTTACAATTTTTTCGTAGTGTAGTTTT